GTACGTTTATCTGTTGCACCGCAAGTCCGAATGCTTTGAGAAATTCAAGGAGTATCGGGCAGTTGTGGAGAAGCTTCATGGTAAATGTATCAAGTCACTTCGTTCTGATCGAGGTGGCGAATACCTTTTTGGAGAGTTCAGGACATACTTATCGGAAGCTGGGATTGAATCCCAACTGACTGCACCCGGCACGCCCCAGCAGAATGGGGTTGCAGAGCGAAGAAATAGGACTCTTATGGAGATGGTTAGGTCTATGATGAGTTATTCGAGGTTACCAGATTCGTTCTGGGGTTTGGCATTGGAAACGGCATCGTATATTCTGAACATGGTTCCATCGAAGTCAGTTGACACTACCCCTTATGAGATGTGGAAAGGGCGCAAGCCCAGTTTCTCACAGTTTCGAGTTTGGGGTAGTCCTGCACACGTGTTAGTGCAGGAACCTGGCAAGTTGGAGAAACGTTCGGAAGCACGAGTTTTCGTAGGCTATCCCAAGGGAACGAAAGGTGGATTATTTTATAGTCCCGAGGATCAGAAGGTGATCGTTTCGACGAACGCTAGATTCTTGGAAGAAGACTATATTATGAATCATAAGCCCGCGAGTAGACTAGTCTTAGAGGAGTTAAGGGGTGAAATCGATGGTTCCCCACCGAGTGCGCAAGTAGATACATCACATAATACTGCAACACGACACACTGAGAGTGTACCAGTGCAGACAGTGCCTCGTCGCAGTGGGAGGGTTTCTCATTTACCCGACCGATGGATAGGTCTTGGAGAGTCGTCAGACTCAGTTCCAGGAGGCCTAGAATCGGACCCAAGAACTTACGATGAGGCACTCCAAGATAAAGATGCAGATTCATGGAATGTTGCAATGAAAGCTGAAATGGGGTCAATGGACTCCAATCAGGTCTGGGATCTTGTAGAACTACCCGATGGGGTACGACCCATTGGATGTAAGTGGATCTATAAGAGAAAGAGAGGATTGGATGGGAAGGTGCAAACCTTTAAAGCTAGGCTTGTTGCGAAAGGTTATACCCAGATCGAGGGTATTGATTATGATGAGACCTTTTCGCCAGTAGCTATGCTTAAGTCCATTCGGATTCTCTTGGCTGTAGCCGCTCATATGGACTATGAGGTCTGGCAGATGGATGTCAAGACAGCTTTCCTTAATGGGAACCTGCAAGAAGACATCTATATGCAGCAACCAGAGGGATTCATTGCTGAAGGTCGTGAGCATCTAGTGTGTAAGCTTAATCGGTCTATTTATGGACTGAAGCAAGCTTCGAGATCTTGGAACATCCGTTTTGATGAGGTGATCCAGTCGTACGGGTTCACTCAATGTCCGGATGAGCATTGTGTTTACAAGAAAATCAGTGGGAGCGTGGTGGTGTTTCTTGTGCTTTACGTAGATGACATACTGCTTATTGGAAACAGTAAGAAGGAGTTATCAGACGTAAAGGTGTGGTTGTCTAAGCAGTTTGATATGAAGGACTTAGGTGAAGCAGGACACATTCTTGGTATTAGGCTCATTAGAGATCGTAAGAAGAGAATGTTGTGCTTATCCCAGTCTTCATACATAGATACTGTCTTGGCCAGATTCAGCATGCAGGATTCCAAGAAAGGTATGTTACCTTTCAGACATGGAATACCTCTATCTAAGGAGATGTCTCCTAAGACGTCTAAGGAGATAGAGGAGATGAAGACAGTTCCTTATGCTTCGGCAGTAGGAAGTCTCATGTATGCAATGCTATGCACAAGGCCGGATATTAGCTACGCCGTTGGCATGGTAGCTAGATATCAAAGTAATCCAGGACGGGAACATTGGTCTGCGGTGAAGCATATACTCAAGTACCTGAGAAGGACTAAGGAGTACATGTTAGTTTACCGTGCAGGCAGCTTGTTACCTCTGGGTTACAGTGATTCCGATTTCCAGTCAGATAAGGATGAAAGTAAGTCAACCTCAGGTTATGTGTTTACCTTGGGAAGTGGAGCCATTTCATGGAGGAGTGCTAAGCAGAAATGCGTGGCAGACTCCACCATGGAAGCCGAGTACATAGCAGCCTCAGAGGCAGCGAAAGAGGCAGTTTGGCTCAGGAACTTCTTAGTGGACTTAGAGGTTATACCGAGTTTGCCACGTGGTATCACCGTGTACTGTGATAACAGTGGAGCAGTAGCGAACTCAAAAGAACCTCGAGCCCACAGGGCAAGCAAACACATAGAGCGCAAATACCATCTGATTCGGGATATCGTTGGTAGAGGAGACGTTGATGTTGCCAAGATTGCGTCAGAGGACAACCTAGCTGATCCTTTCACGAAGAGTTTGCCGGGGAAGGTCTTCGTCAAACACGTGGAAGGAATGGGAGTCATGAGCATGGCAATAGGATCGACATAGGTCTTTTAGAATAACGGATTGATAGGACTATACTGTAAAAGCGAAAGCTTTAAGTATAAGTGGGAGATTGTTAGTGTTATATACTGAAAGCTTGGCTTTGCATGTTATTACACATTTACCCTTTATGAATGAGAATCATGTTAGATTAAACAAGTTCTACGTTCTGTTGTTCTGCACTTAGATAGGGTGGGTCGTCATCGGGCGAACCGAAGATCACTCTATCAGTCACTTGCGAACAAGAATAGTTGTTCACAACCTAGATGGACATGAACACCCCATCCGAACGGTTGTAGTGTCAACTGTACAGTTTGTCTTGACTGATTAGTTGCACTAGTACATTTATGTATTGAACAGGATCCCAGAGAGGAGAAGTTCATTTTATACTGATCGTCGTAAATGAACTAGGCCTCGGTTAATTACTGCGTTCTCTTAACCCGTAAGATATTAAACAGGCAGATATATATAATATATATTACTTTGATTCACATGGGTGAGGTTCAGTTCGCTGGATTAATATTCCTACTGTTTTGGGTAATATTATTATATATAGGATGTGCTGTTAGGATATTTACGGTCACCATGTGCGTTAGTTTGATGATGTCCCCGGAGTGAGTTCATGAAGGATTGTTATGCTAAACCCTGCAGGTGGATTAAATTCCGGCATAATAAGAATGTGATGAACGAGCGCTAGCTTCGGTGAAATAATAATAAATTAATTAATTCTTGATTGTCAGTAATCGAATTAATTAATGGACATTATATCTTAAACGTGGGGAGGTAAATCGAGTAATTATTATTGGAGTCTCAAATGTAATTTGGGCTAGGGAAAGGGAGTGCAATAATATAATGTTGGTGGCCCATTAATATTATTTAATTAATTAGAGGAGTGGGTTTGGCCCACAGTTAGTCTAATTAATTAAGGAGCCCTTTTCCTAATCTCCTTAGGGTCCCTACTGTAGCTCTATATATACATCATTAAGCTCATGAGAAGAGAACAGAAGTCTCATTCTCACGTGAAACCATCTCTCTCTCTCTAGATCTCATTCGAGCTTTATCTTCTTCTTGTTGCTCCACTGATACAAGTTGAAGAAGGGTGTATTGAGTAATACAGTAGAAGATCTGTAGGTAAACTGAGACGAAATTGATTTTGACCTACAGAACTAACCGGAAGTCCGATTGAGACGTAAAGTATACCCAGACGACCGTCTCGACGAGAGCTTTCCATCGCCGCCGACGTCGCCGGAATACGACGCCGCACGCGCTCTCACGCGCCGCCGGAAGGAGTCTGGCAGCAAAATTTCGTTTTGATCTGTTTGCATCCGTTTGATCCAGTTTTGATCTGATCTTGTTCGTGCAACCCAAGACGCGTGTTGCGGTCAATCAATTGCGGTCAACCGTTCGTGGTCAACCAGATCTACATAAATTTTAAGCCGTAAGTTCTCTACGTCAAACCTTTAGATCCGCTGCGCGTAGGTTTACGTTTGCTATTGAATTCGTGATTTGTACATAACGAGATCCTCACAGATCCCAACAAAATGAATATTGTCTTTGATTTTTAGGAGAAGTGAAATGTATTGTTCATGTATTTGTATTTAAGTAATTAAGCATTAGTTATTAATTAAAATTATAAGATATGATAGGTATTAGTGTATTACTAATTTGCCTTTAAAAACATGTTAAAGTAAGGTTTTTTAGGTAATTCATTTTTTTAATTAAAAATATAAATTAAAATATGTATTACTGTATTACTAATTTGCCATTAAAAATATGTCAAAGTACGGTTATTTTAGGTAGTTCATATTTTTACAAAAACACTCGTCCTTTTAGAGTAGTATAGATAGATTATCAACATTTTTTAGGCCACCTCAAAGTTGTTCTCCTTGCAGTTGGCGTTGTTTATAATTAGTCAGGCTATATTTGTTAGGCTATAATTAGTTGATAACTTATAAGTGAATTTCAAGCATATAGCTAATATCTTATGACTTATGATTGAAAATCAAGTTGATATGATAAAAGTGTTTGGTATAATTAGCAGATAAGTCAGTTGAAAGTAAAACTTTAACAAAATTATTTGGAAAGCTACCAAGGAAGATTATAAGATAAGCTCAAGCTTTTTTTTTTTTAAAAAAAAAGCTCATCCTACCAAATTTATAAGGTAATTAAATAAACTATAAGCTAACTTATCAAATATAAGCTCGTCCTACCAAACTTAAAGTATTTTTTTGATTGGAATGAGAAATGATCTATCATTTCGAATGAAAGGAATTCATTGTAAACGAGAGTAGCATGGTTCCTTTGCTTTATGATGTTCACAAACCAATATAACAAAAAGGAAATTACCACCACATTATATCATTTTTATTACATTTATACTTCCATATATAAAATTTAGCAAAACAACTAAAGCTAACATATTTATTTGCATAAATACTATAATATAATTATAGTTTATTTATGAAATTATCAGCTTTAATGGAGATATGTATATATGTATGTGTAAAAAGCTTTTTTTTCTTTTTCTTTTTTCTTCCCTTCCTGTCACTTTTCTCTCCTAATCTTCTTCTTCTTCCTTCCTCATTTTTCTTCTTAAAATTCTATCCTTATGTGTAAGAGGTTCGTGTTGGACAGGGAGGGCAGGCCGAGTGAGTATATTTGTGAATGGATTTTTGTCTGTATAAGAGTATATAATAAACCAAAAATAATATATATATATATATATATATATATATATATAATAACAATTTGTGTTCTTGTATTAGATAAACGTATAATAAATTGAAAATATAAATTTGTAATAAAAAATAGTTTATAATCTATAATAAATTGTATTTTTTTTTGTATGACCATTTGTAAGTTAACAACAAAAGATTCATAGATGCCGTTAAATGGATCTCTGACATTCTCGCCGCAAAAATTGGCCAAGATGCCGGTAACGACGAAAAGTCTCGCAGGGAACGACTTCAATCCCTGCCACCGCAACATTACTCGAAGGCTCGGCCATCTCTCTTTTAGACGACACCACCACCTTTTCAGTCGCTTTTCTGCCCGTAATCGCTATAAAAAATTGTGTGAGATGACAAGGGAGAGAGACATATATGATAAATTGAGAGATTTTTCGTCGATAAGAAAGAGAGAGAGAGAGAAACAAGTTCTTTTATTAAAACTCTTACATTTTTTCCTAATTAAGGAATGAACCTCGTAATTGACGGGATTCTCCACAAGTAAAGCTACGGTTTCTAATATCTAGTAACAATTATGTTCAGTTGGGTTGTTCATAAGTTTTCAGTTCAGTATTTTTACAGTTCTTTAGCAATCACTAGAGTTGTATGTAAATGAGTCTATAACAAAAGATCCAATGAAGGCCCAAATTAATTTGAGGAATTTACACCCTATACTCTCAAATACATTTTATATTACATATCTATACCCAATTAATATTTATTTACAAATATACAAAATCACCCAAACATATTTACACATATACTAGATTTTTTAAATTTATTCATTACGATTTAAATATGGAAATTGAATCAGATATAGATTAATTGAGATAATTAATCTCTAATATCAAGGAGTCCTCTCTTCTCTCTCATTATTCTCCGATCCGCAATTCACAATCTACGTGATTTTTCTCTCCAATCGCCTCATCAACACGGGCGGCGCAAACGACCACCGCCAATGATGACCCCGTCATCACCTCCATCGTCGATTGGACGGCGATAAACCCTAGCCACTAATTCGCTCTTTTCGGAAGCTCTTTCGCGCAGGAGGCTCCCGCGCCTGCTCCGGCGTCTCCAGCCGGCATCGCGTCGCCTTCACTCGTCGTCGTCTGCGCCGCCGCCACCGCGGCATTCGTCTTCGGGTCCGCCGTCGAGATCTGAAGGTTTTAAGCGCGTGTGTGTATAGGACGGTGGTGTTTTAGGGTTTTTTCCACTTGATTTGTTTGTTTGTGTTGTTGTGCAGATCTGTGTTGATCTGGTGTTTGTTTGCTGGTGGAGTTTGATTTTTAGAAGATTTGTTATTTGGTGATACGCTTTTTTTTTTCGTTTATGTACCTATAAATTTGATATATTTGAGTCCCATTTTAGTGTTTTTTATCAAGTCTCGCGAGAGTGTTATAACTCATCTTTCTGTAGGCCTTTCGTTTTCTTTATTTCCGCAGCCATAGTATATGTGCAGTATATGTAATTATGTATAGTATATGTGCAGTATATGTATAGATCATTTAGTACGTTAAAATTACATCTTTTTGTATTTCTGTAGGCCTTTCGTTTTCTTTATTTCCGCAACCATAGTATATGTGCAGTATATGTATAGTATATGTGCAGTATGTGTATAAGACATTTTTTTTTTATTGCAACATATACTGAATATATACCAACATAAACCCAACATATACCTACCTGGACAGCTACGCGAATTACCATACATGATTTTATGTACAAATCAGCTTTTTTTTTTGTTTCCTAGTCAAGTTGCGGAAATCACACCCGGGTGAAGGGATTGAGGTTGGAATGAACATGATGATTTATAAATATTTACAATTTTTTGCTATAGTATTTTTGAACGAAGATATTTTTTTTCATTGCAACATATACTGAATATATACCAACATAAACCCAAGATATACTCACCTGAACAGTTGCGCGAATTACAATTGCGCGAATTACAATTACGCGAATTAAAGAATTAAAAGAGTTAATCTCTCTCTTAATCAAGTCCATAAAAAGGAAAATTAAATGAGTCAATCTCTCTCTTAATCATGCTCATAAAAAGGGGGATGATGGTTGAATGAATATAGTAACTGACTTTAGGCATTAGTGTAGTTATATATTATCTATTAGGTAAAGATGTAATTATTTGTTTATGAATTGTATTTTTACAATTTTTTTAGAATCTTGTAGGATAGATGTAAATTTCCCAATTAATTTGGCCACCTAAGTAGTTAATGTACTTACATAATTTTCCAACTAGCTCAGTTCTCGCATATGAAGGGGCCCAAGCCCATTAACCACGTTGCGCAGCTGCCAGTCTGCCACTCAATAGCACTGCCATTCGCAGCTCTTTCGCACCGTTGCCACGGCGGTTGCTGAATTGGCGCCGCCGCCCATTCTTTTCATTTCCGTCATATTCTTCTTTGTTCTCTCCTATTTTAATCTCCTCACGCCACCATTTCCTTCGTTCTTTCTCAACCGGCAGTTTTCTGGCTTCCGACGGCGAACTTACTGTGGATTTCTTCTCGAAACAAGCAAGCTGCTCTTATATACTTATTTTAATTTTCATTGCTCCTTTACCGGAATTTCTAGTTTGATTTTGGATTAAAAGAAGATTATCAAAGTTAATTTGGATGTCCAATCTTCTTTTGTTACGTACAGTTGTCACTTTCCTGGAAATTCTTGCTTGTTATATCTTCATTCGCAAGATTTTTAATTCATTTTTGTAAGAAGCTCTGTACCTATTCCTGTTAACGATTTTATTTCCCTAGTGAATTGGACGACATTTGGGAATCTTGAGGATATCACTTTAAGGTCACCAATTATTGTAAATACAAGCTACTTGTCGCTTTGAAGCTGGACGTTGAAGTTGTTTTTTGCATTATCTTTTCTGGTTTTCGATTAGCTAACCATTTTTAGTTTTAGTTTCATGTAGGGAGTGTTGAAATCTGCCGATGTGATACTCTTGGAAGATACGTAGCATTCGGGAAAGTTGCTTCACTATTTAGGACTCCACTTGTAAGCCAGATTTTTAAATTTTATTTTTGCATTGCGTTATTTAAATTCGTGTTGGTACTTTCATGTGCAGGGATCCTTCTGATTCTGTGATTTAGATTATCAGTTAAGATATCACAAATTCAATGATTCCCAACGAGAGCAAATTGTGTTGAAAAGACTTCTGGATAAAGAAATTTTGGCATATGGCCATGCCAGGCATCAGTGATCCTGGAATGGAGCTGGTGAGTTGATTTGTTCAATCACCTAAAGAAAAAGCTGATTGTCAATGTTTATTTGGAACCGAAAGTTGTTTTTACTTTTCTGAATGCCAACTTTCTGATCGTTATTTTACATAACATAATTGGATTCATTAAACTGATGGAAGACTGGTTCTAAACAGTCATGGGAAAGACCTCTTTTGGGAAATCTTGTTTATAAATACGAGAACCATGTACGTTTTCTTCTTATCCCTTAAGTTCATAGTCCAATTTATATTGATTCCCTAACTACTCTTTGCATGCTCCAAAAAACATCATTAAATTACATGAGCTCATGAGCTTGTGATTTTTTGTAATGGAGAGAAGTGGAAGCTGAAAATTTGATATGAGAGATGCTAACTTAAAGGTTCTAATTTGAATTTCGTATAGGCCTAGTGTACTGAAACCTAAAAAGAACCTCTGTAAGCTACTTAAAGTCTTATAATTGTCGATGCAGATCAAAGTATATTCTTGATTCCTTGCAGTGTTAAAAGAAGGAAAAAAAAAAAAATCCTGCCATACCATCCACCCTGGCCAGCCATTCAATAACACTGATTCTTGGTTTTATTATGTAATAGGACGTTTGTTTTTAAATATCCATAAATAAATATTTTTCCCTCGTTTCGCGGTTGTTTGTATTATAGGTCATAATTCAGGAATCTGACTTTTCTTATTCTGTTTTTACTCCTGTTTATTTAGCTCATATGCATCTACTTGGCTTAGGGGTGCATTTTGTCTAATAATTCAATCTCCTTTGTATTTGGCCTCTGAAAATGAACAGATATGACATAGCTGAATGAAGCAGTATGTTGTATGTTACCTTAATATTGTGAAAAGTGTGTTCTCCAAAGGCCATAGAAGGGCATGGGCTGCTATAGTAATTGCAGACTAGCTAATCTAGTTAAATTCCGCTTGTAAGTCTAGCCACAGTATCAGGTTATCATTTAAAAGTTATATGATTGAACATCTAAAGATGGTGAGCTTGAAATGGTCGGGTTCTGTCTGTATCAAATCCAACTTAAAAAGCTCCAATTATTTATCTGAAAACTGTTGTCAATATTGTTGATTGAGAATGATAAGGATTGCTATCAAAATTGTTAATTGAAAACTAAGGTTAACTCGAAAAACTAACAAGTTACGTTTTGTTGACAAGTTTTGGCGTGGTACTCTTGGAGATGGAAGCACTCTCTCTCTCTCTCTCTCTCTCACTCGCCCATATATGTGAAATCATGCTTTATCCGTCTCCAAAGTAATAGGATTTGTGGAGGAATGCTTTCTCTACCAACATGCACAACTTGACTTTCTTGTGACACATTAAAAAAAAAAAAACACTTTGTTTCAACATCTAAGTTTCACCAAATTGATGGGATATGCCGGAGGACTAAATAAATTTTGTGTGGGTGTGCTTGCCTTATAATTCACTCTTTTTAATTTTCTGAAGTTGATAGCACGGCTAACGAAATTCATTCCTGGAGAAGTTCGGCAAAAACCTGGTTCGGATGATAAAAGATGAATCTGACTTCTCATGAGACCGGAAGTATGAAGACATTTTTATGATTTGAGTGTTTATAGGCTTCTTAACAATCAAGTAAAACAACTGCCCATGAAAACATTAGAAGCTCTCTTTATTGGTCCTTTTCCCGGTGATATTGATCGGTGCTTTTTTCAATGCTGCAAACTTAGTCATGAATCTTTTGGTAGAGTTAGAATGCAGGTTTTGAATAAGGTGGACTTGTTCGAGGAATCTTTGGCTTTAAGTTGAAACTCCATAGTTTTATATGTTGGTTGTCGCATGTTTGGTCTTAGTTTAGTTTGTGTCTGTTAAGGTTGGAAAATTTAGGGTCATGTCAAATTCTTTTTCAATAAACGTCAATTATTGTATTAAATTTTGATGGGAATTAAGCTAGATGAACAGCGAAAGTGTTGAAATAAATTGTGGCAACTTGGCATTCTCTCGCATATTTTACCATTTTCAAATTTATTCAAGATCATCTTCGGCCTAATCATGTTAATTTTTTGGGTGACATTCAAATTTGTTCAATGTATACCCGATCTTTACTATGTCATGATGTCTAATCATTATACCGTTATATTTCTTAAACACATGTCTAATGATTTCCACTTCAAACAATAAGAGGATGTTAAATTTGATTATTTCTTTTAAATATTATTAATATAAATTAAAAATTTTACTTAAAAAATTAATATGTTTTTGGTCTTTGCGTGGCGGGAGTAAACTAATGGTAATGGCCTAATGGGCAACAGCATTTGTTGTACCACAGAGTATGTAACCGACAGTTTTTGGGTCTAAAAGATCCTTTTTGCTAGCCGCCATCCCGAAAAAAATTCTCCACATAATAAAATACAAGAAATAACCAAACATATATATAATATAAAGAGGAAAATATATGAGGATTAATAAAAAATGTATGTATAAAAAAATGTTGGTTGACACATTAGGTTCCTTTTTTTTTTTTTAATACATCTTCTCGCAAGAGTTGCCAAAATTTTCCTAATATATCCACGTTCACTGTACATGTGACAGCTGTCTTCATTTATCTTATTGCGTTACCAAACATCGTAGTTTTTATGTTATTGTATATATACTAATATTCGGCCTGTGCATTTGCACAGATATATAAATAAAATATTGCGAGTTATTTGTATGCATATAATGATTAATGATTTTTGCTAAATTTACAATTAAATGAGCTGAAATCTTTATTTTTTAAAAATACGTTTTTCATATTGGATGTAATGTATATTTTGGTATGTATCTTTTGTTGTGAATTATTTGTTATTTATTTAGGAATTTCAAATACGTTTTTTATTTCCAAAAGAAGTTAATTTAAATGTAACCACAACAATAACATCTACTCAAGTTAAATAGTCAACACATTATATGGTCAACCGTAAGTAAATAAAAAATTTAAAATAATTTTTGTAATTTTGAAGTGATTAGTGTTTTGATATCTAATAATTAAATGAGAGGTTAAATAAATAAGAAATAACAATTTTTCGATGAAAAAAACTATATTGCCACATAGGTATAATTTAATAAGTTTTATTAAATACTAATGAGCCAGCAATTATACATATATATATATATATATTTAGGGTAATGAGATTTGCAAAAAATATTGGATATTTAATATTTAGTTTTTATTACAGTTATGAAATGAGAAAGAATATGGCATAGTTGATTTGACCGACTATAAATAATATTTATTTTTTATGAGTGATGAGATTTGCAAAAAATATGAGATATTTAATATTTAATTATTATTAAAGTTATGATATAAGAAAAAAATATGGGATGTTGATGCTTGGAATTTATATAAAGAATTTTTTAAAATTTTGGATTCCCGCATCTTTTTTTCAGATTTTCGCCTCCTATTCAGATAATTTCGAAACAGTAATTATCTCAACTTTTGGAATTGTAATTTGATAATTATAATTAATTGTTTTAGTTGATCTTTAATTTTGTTATTTTTGCAGGAATTGACCGGAGATGGAGCATCTGATTTTTTATTTTATTTTAAATTTATTTTTTTTGGTTAGTTGTATTTGTTAATAATTAATTTTTTATTTATTTTCATTAATTTCGTTTAGTTTACTATGCATAGAAAAAATAATTTCGATTAAAAAAATAATTAATGAGAACTGTTGAGAGTAATTAATATGTTTAAAAAAATATGAAAACATTTTCATTTTCATTAACTCGTTATAATTGCAGAATTAATTGGTTGTCATTTTTAAAACACTCAACTTTTCAAGAAAATTGAGTTGTTTTTAATAAAGAAAATAAAAAATAAAAACAAATGAAAAGTAACGGAAATTGGCGGGAAAATGCCACTAGATATAATTTATGAGGTTTAATTAAATGCAGAAGAGCTAGTAATTATATATATATAGATTTGTCCCACCTAATATAATACTCTCCTACGTGGGGTTATGATTATATTTAATGGTTAATCGTTAGATAATTATATGTTTTCACAAAATTAGTAGTGTACAATACATGTGCATTAAATGGTGTTAATTAAAAAAATAACTAAAATGGTTATTTTTTATTTCAAGATTTGTAAATACTTCTTAAAATTTTATTAAATCAAAGACCGTTTAAAAATGATTAATTTGATATATTATATACAAAATTTTAAATATGAGAAAAAGTTTTGAAGTTTGTAAATATATTCTAAGTATGAGAAAAATTGTATAATTTTACATACGTGGCATATGAATGGACTTAAGTCCTAAATTTCATGGACAAACTCAAGTAGAAAAAACTCAAAATTTTTATTCAGTACAAAATAAATGATGTTTCTTCTATTAAAAGAAAAATTAAATTAGAAATAAATGATAAATGTTCAGATTTGTACTTGGGTCCAAAATAAACACAAGAGTGGGCTTGGTCTCTCTTTTTTTATTGCCACATAAGCTAGACCATGCCCACTTTTAATTGCACATTTTTTTATTGACTAAATTTATTTTATTACATGGCATATGATGTTTTTTTTTTAAGAAACGCAATACATTATGGGTGTTCTAAGAATAAAATTTTGAAATAATATGCCAACAACTAGTAAACGATAGAGTCGAGCATAAGCAACATACTATATAATATTACCATATAATTGTTTCATTGACATAAAAAAGCTTGAGGAAAAGAAAAACGAATAAATAAAAGCTTCGACAATAGCTAAATTCAACAAATATAAATATAAAAAATTCGCAATTTAACCGACCATGGCCTAACTATAGTTATAACAACTACTATTACGTAGCCATGCTTTAAAATTGGAGGGGTTAAGTTAAGGCCAAGGTTTAGGTCCACCAACTGGTGGTTATATTTTCAAAATTTCAATTCCAACAGTCTAAACTCTTAAGACAATATGTGAATATACTCAAACAACCATGGACCAACAACTATTTTTATCTGTTAAAAAACAGTTTTCTTAGCTGTAACCATCTTACAGATTGAGACCAATTCTTATTTTTCTTTTCTTGTATTTGTTCACCATAATAACAATCTTTGATAATCCTATATTTGTTTCAACACTTATTATTTGAAGTATTATTTATTATTTATAAATATACAACTGTCCAGTCTAAGACACACACACACACACAGTGACACAGCTGCCATTTTTTGTTTAATTTTTTATTGTTCCTAAAATTTTCCTTGTTTTTGCTGTAGAGAAGTTTCTAGGCAATCTTTGAGTTTGCAAGACTTGTCTCCACGTGAGAAAGGTGGGCATACCTGAAAAGGAATATAATGTTTTTCTAATATGGNCAAGATCTTTAGGATCAGTTTTTGTCTCCATTTGTTTTGAGGGATAAATTCCTAAATTTTTGAGTTTGTGCTCTTGTTTTTTTCAATCATTCTCTTGTGTTCTCTTTGCTTCCCCCAATTGAGGTAACATAGTTTTCAAGATTTTATTCTTACTATTTTTCTTCTGCCTAATTAATATGCTGCTTTTTTGTGTTTTTTGGTGTGAACTGTGATGAATATGAACTTAGGAAGAAAAGGGTTTCTTTTTGGGTCATTGAAATTTATTTCCCTTAACTGCTTATTGATGGTGAATTAATTGGCTTTATCATAACCTTGACTTCTTCACATGATCAGATATGAAAAAGTTGTGGGCTTTTTTTTCTTTTCTGTTCTGTGTTTCATTCATTTAATGAGTGAAGCTTAAAGTACTTTCTCTGTGTTTTTCTTTTGGCTTCTATAAACAGAACAATTATTTTTAATTTTTTTTCTTCTTCTTCTTCTTCCTCCATTTTTGTTTTCTCCTTCTGTTTCTCTTTGGACATATAATCCTTACTACTGTTAGCTTTGCTAGTGAATGAAAGAGGTGTGGGTCTTAGGTTCCAACAGAGGAAAAAAGAAAATTTGTTTGCTCTGCTTTTTACCTTCCATAGTGGGATTGCTATATCATTTTTCCTTGTATGCACATGTGAATTTATCCTTCCTTTTTTTCTTTAAAAATAATATCAGTATTATTATTTGTTTTTGTGGTGCATATTTTCCATCAACAATATCATCAACCATTCTTCCAGAAATTTAAAGTTTCAATCTTTTTTCCTTTCCTTCCTCAGCTAACACAAACCACTTGGTATGGTTTAGCCTTCCTCAGCTTACTCAATTGNCATTTTATTCAAATGAAGAAGATCACATGCTTCCTTCTGAATACTTGCTGAATTACAAACTTTCTTCCCTTCAATCATCCGACCACGCTAATCCCTCGAGTGTCGACCAAATAAACCGGCAGCTAAATTTCAGTCACGGCCTATCTCTAAGCTTAAGCTCGGATATGAACGAGTATGCAAATTCTAGCCTCTGCTCGTTGCTAAATTCGATCCCTCATCAGGATAACGACCTCAAAGACGCGCAATACGTATCATTTGACTTGGTCGGCAAGAATTGCGATTCTCTCAAATTCGGAGGACCTGTTTGCAATTTTCAGAACACAAGTCAAGGAGGAGGGCCGCCGGATGTTATTAACGGTATGATTTGTAATTCCAAGTATCTTAAGGCTGCCCGGGATTTGCTTGATGAATTGGTGAGCGTGCATGGGATTGCCAAGAAGCCCGAAAAAGCTCGGGATTCGGGTTCATCTAATGGTGGGGCCCGCGAGCTGTCAGCATCCGAACGGCACGATTTGCAGAGCAAGCTGACCAAACTTCTTTCATTGTTGGATGAGGTAAAAAAACTAATTATAAGTGTTTGTCTATTTTAAATTTTATCTTGTTGTTCATTTTATAGTTTATTATTATCATTCTTTAGGTCCTCTAATCCATGTGTTAGAACAATGTGAGTTGTTATGAGTTTGGGGTGATTACAATGAAAAAAACAGAGAAAGAAAAACTTTCAAGATTACAGATGAAAGTTGGAAAAGATAAAATAGATACATAGAGATATGATGCTATCTACATTTTTTCACATTG